ACAGGCGGTTTTGAAGGGCAGAGGATCAAATCCTGCCCAGGAAAACTGTCTTAAGTCACATTAAGAAATGCAAGTGGGTGGCATAATACTGTTAAAACGCTTCTTTGTGGAAATGCTGCCAGAGCTCTAATTCTGTTTTGCAGTGACCCCATAGCTTGTTCTGCTTTCTGCTAGAGAAGATGTGCTGTCTGAGGTTTGTGTTGTCCAGGCTGCTTCACTTTGATGAGGGAGATTAATCAGTCACAGCAGAGGTACTACTGTCCCTCCCAGCCAACAGCCTACTGGCAGATCTTCCGCATTCACTCATGTTAGGTGAGAAATCAAAATCGTTTTCACTTCGAAGAAAACTAAGACAGTATGAGTGTTTCTACTGCAGACCTGACAAGCAGGAAAAAGACAAAACACTCCAAAGATGTGTTTTCTTCAAACAAGAACTTATTTTGCTTTCTTCCAAAAATGCTTAACTCTCATTCGTTTAAAGTATTTTTAAAATTGTGTGTTTGTTGGACATGTGAATGGATAAAAAAGAACAAATATCCCTGTTCCCCCACTCCTCATGTTGGAGGGATTAAGTAGAAAACAACACCTCAGAAAAAGGAATGGTTTCAGCCCTTCCTTAACCTTTCTCTAGATCACCCTGTGGGCAGAAGGCGCTCCACTTCCATTTTGAAGACCTTCACTTGAGTGCAACTGGCCTGCGGACTTATGATGGATCTAAGAGATTATGAGCATTACCACGTGAGAAAAGTTCACAATAACAAGAACGCAAGCATGAACTGCTCACTGCTGTCATTGATGGACATGGTAATGGATGGTACAAGTGTTCCACAGGCTAGGAACAGGACAGGATGAGTGCATCAGACAACATCCTGACTGCTGAAAATGATTTATGCCTTTTTTAATCCGTTTACCTTCTACAGTAAAGTTTTAAAATGGTATTTTGAAGAATGGAAGAATGATACATATACATTTAACATGAAAATTTCAAGACCATTTCACAGTGCAAGATTGATGCAACTTTCTGTGACAAAACAGTAATAAATTGAACATATCAATTGTAAATTGTAAAACTATATTGTTAATGATGTATGCAAAATTTGTAGTTTAAAGAATAGGGAATTTTTCTTCTTTTCAATGATTACAACTATGGTCTCCGAGTCAAAGTTCAGATCAGAAATTCCTCTTTAAAACCTCAAAGTAGCTTTAGCTTTTACTAGGAAAGAAACAATGCTTTTTGTCCTGAAGTCAACATTTATTGAGCTTTCAACACTCCACAAGCTTGAATTATGCCTCAGTGTATATTTATTCCATAGATTCAGCGTTAGTAACTTGTATCTGCCAGACTAACTAAGCATTTAAACACACAGGTAAAAAAAAATCCAATTCACTGTACTGAAACCATAAAAGTAGTCAAGGGGTATAGTTTCTAAAATAAACAGGAACTTTTCCTGAGCAAAAAGTTCAGGATTAGGAAAAATTATTTTTATTAAAAAAAAAAAAAAAATCCATTTTTAATTCATAAGAGAGAGGTTCCACCATGCCAAAAAGCTTCTCTGCAGCTTAGTGTTAAAATATAAAATTGCATACGCAATGTTTCTGAACATTTGAAATGTACTGAGTATGTACTTACACATACTTTCAAATATCTGTTCTTATTTTAAGCTAATAAAACAGAAATCCAATGAGTGTGTGGTATGTATGAAATCCTCAGTGCCTGTCCTAACAGCAAACCATGCCCAGGTGCAGCTGGAGCTCACAGAGCGGGGCTTTGAAGTGGAGGTTGGAGGCAGAACATCCTCAACACCCAGGCAGTTTCAAAATAACTCCAACAATCCACCTGCAATCTACTAACAATGGAAGTGGTTGTAAGTAAATTTTATCCTGTTAATTTTCAAATCTCTGCTGCGTCTATAAAGAGCAGTATTAGTTAGCCTTACCGACTTCAAAGTCTTGTGACAATTTCTAGCTGCAGCCGCAGGAACACACCTTACGAGTGAGCAACTGCAGTAATTTCCTCAAGCTGCTTTACATCTTCAGTTTCCCTGTTCCTGTAATTCCTTTTTAAAACAGAAAGGAAGCAGGAAAAATTTGTCCCTGGTAAAGGAGAGCAGAGCACCAAGAAGTTTGACTTCCCAAATATGCTAGAAATAAGTTTATTTCTACGCTAAGCCTTAAATCCTGGTAGGATCTCCAACTTAACTACATACAAATGCTGGGGTTAATTATCAGAGAAGTATGGGAGGGGGGAAGGATTTTCTAAAGGTCTAGTCCCTTTTCTTCAAAGCTTCAATTTTACCCATGCTACTCTGAAGTTTAGAATCTAAATACATGAGGAAGACTTTATTCTAGAATAATTGGGAAGTAATTTCAATCAGGAACTAAAAATTTAATAACCACTTTATAAAGGTAAAGCATAGCAGTGAAGTCATTAGTGTTCTAGCTGGGCTTCCTAGGAAAACATTAAGTAAAAAATCTTCTAAGAACTGTAGAAAAGAACGAAAGAAGGGAGAATAGCTGAAGTTTCTCAGATAAAGAGGAGCTGATGCAACACAAAGTTTGCTAGAATCTCAAAATCTCTCAAAACATAGCAGCAGGTGTGATTGGCTGTGTTAAAAAAAGCTCATGTTATTTTTCGATCTTTAGATTTCACAGTATTGATCTCATTAAGCTAGTGTTTTCACATTGTAACTAGAGTAAATGTAGTTGCTCTACAAAAGCTGTGGAGTAATGTTGCAAATGAATGATGAGTATTTAATAATTGACTCAACTACTTTTAAGTACAGATCTAAAATAGACTTGGAGTGGTGAAAAGTAGTGGTAAAGACACAGCTGTCTGAAGCGATAAAAACATTTCATTAATCCTTAAAAGTAAACACTCTAAAATGTTAAGTAGCAATGTAGAAATCATCGCAGCTTATTTCTGAAGGTATGGAAAAAAGTTTTCTTTGTGTTCATTTGTTCTAACGGATGAACTATTTTTTTTCTAGTCAATGGAAAAAGAAAACCAATGAGTCTGACAGTCCTTCAGGTGAGATACTTCCTAAGCACTTACTGCCATCAAAAAAGAGCTGATGTGATACTTTTACAGATCAAGGACACGAAAGGAGTGCCAAACAATAGTTTGCCTTAGAAAACAAACAAACAAAAAATTACCAAAAAAAATTACAAAAAAAAAAAAAAAAAAAATTACAATCCACAATAAATAGATGAGATGCAGGAATTTTAATATTTCCATAAGACATTTTCAGCATTCTACTATGCTTTCAATATAGCATAAATTGACCAGTTTTCTAAAAAGATTAAATAAGGCAAAGGAAGCAAGCTTTCCTACTTAATGACAGGATCTAAGAAAGAATACCATGAAACAAGACTTTCCAATTACTATAAATGCCACACAAAAATAGAAAGCAGCACATTAAACAATCTTTGTCATTTCTTCAGACAATGAAATAGAATGAAATTGATAAATTCTTCTTGAGCACAAAAAGGCTGAATCAATGTCATACATACGATCGCATATTTATTTTGGCCTGTTGAAAAAGGGGTAAGACTAGAAGAGCAAGGAAGTTCAAAAATATCTGCTACCATCAACCTACAGTTGATAAACTGAAAGGGGAGGATTGAAATTTCAGCTTTCCAGTAACAGTTTCATGTCACTTTAAGCAAGATTGTGCCTCTGTATTTGTTTCTGACTGCCTTAATCTGTGTATCTGCAGTGAACATAAGGAGGACTTTGATCAAAACACAACATGCATTTTACACAACAAGGAAGTCTACAGAGAGGCACTACATTTACAAAAGCAATTGAAAGGGGTTTCAAAGGGAGTTGACAGATTAGAAGATGATGACACTGCTGCTGCAGTCTCAATGGAAATCTGGCTTGATCTAATTAACAGCAACGAACTAGAACCACAAAATGATAATTCAAACATGATTTAAAGAAGTTATATCACCTTTTTATTACCTAAACAATGGAGCTTTTCCCTCACAGATAACAGAACAAGTCACAGGTTGAACACAGAACAGGAATAAAAGGCTTGATGTCCTTAATTTTACTCTACCGTATGGGAGAAAAACCTCCCACTAATCCTGAATATTTTTGTTCACTGTGCTCCCTCAACTTATGAGCAGTTTTATTTTATTTATTATTTTATTTCTTTTTTATCTGTAGAGAAAAATAGAAGGCCAAATACATTTTATGTAGTCTTAGGATATCCTTCAGTTTAATGAGTAAAAATGCTAGTGAATGATTTGTGCTGACACTTCGACAACTGTCAGTATGAGCGGACGTAAGCTCATATGCAGTCTACAGTACAAGAATTTCTTTGCATCTTGGTTCTGAAGCAAATTCTGTACTGGCTCATCCTCCATCTTATATGACAGTCACTGTCGCTAACATCTAATGTAGCTAATATAGCATGTGCTTGTATGCATACATACACACGTATAATGACATACTGTCATCCTGGCATTTTCTACTTTATGAATTATGCGCATGGGAAGCGCATTATTAGCTGCTTTCAGAAGAAATATGTATGTTTGTCAGGGAATCACAGAATGACCAAGATTGGAAAAGACCTCTAAGATCATCCAGTCCAGTCATCCACCTATTACCAATATTTCTCACTAAATCATGTCCCTCAATACAACATCCAAATGTTTCTTGAACACCTCTAAGTACAGTAACTCCATCACCTGTAGAAGCTACAGCCATCTGAATACCAAAGTGCTCTCTGACAACTTAAAAGACAAGAATATAAGGAATCTCCAAGTAAGTGAATTGTTTCATTTTCCTTACACTTATATTCTTGCTTTTTCCTTTTGCACACAATTAAAAAAAACTTCCTTAATTGTAACTAGTAGTTGTTAACTCTTTCTAATACTACTGTATAGAAATAAACTGTCTCAATATCAAACTTAGAAGTGCAATACAGTATTTTGTACAGTATCACTTAAGATTTTTTTCTCTTTGATCCTCAAAATCACGTATATACTTTTACCTTTGTGTCATAATTTTGTAGGCATCGGGAAGGAAGCATTCTGTGTTCTCCATCTGGAAAGGGTCAGCATCACAGATCTTGTCATCTGTCCGTCCATAGTTAGCACTTTCTATCATAATAACATCACTTCCTGGACACCGGAGGTCAATAGAGTAGCCTTCACAGGAGAGCTCTCTCCTAACCAAACCAAATGGTAGTGCTGCTCGGCTGAAACCTGAAGAAGAAAAAAAAATGAGATTGAGTTTAAAGGATAAATATATTTTTTCTGTGGCATAGGCAGTAACTCTCAACAGTATGCTAGAGGTAAAGGAAGTGCACCTTTAAACAGTTTGACCCGCTACCAAGTGAAGCAGCCTTCATGAACCTGTCACATCCTGACATCACTTCTGCTGTGTCCTTAATCTGGGAAGAGAGAAAATTCCTCTTCGCTACTTCTAACCCTTGACAAGGCAGCATGCCTGCAAGGTTATTCTGTGCATTCCTGTTCTCACCTCTCTTCTCCCTGCTTCTTTCACCCTGCTTTGGGCACAGACAGGTCACGTTGGAAAGTGGGAAGCAGTAGAGCAGGCTGGAGTTGAAGAAACAGAAGTGATTTAAAAAACAAAGCAAAACAAAGCAAAGCAAACAAAAAAAAAACCCACACACAGAAACAAAGCCATTTCAAGTTAATTTTTATCTCCATTCCCAAGAAGAGTTCACTTTCTTTGGCTCATCTACTTTATGTCCCCAGCATGGGTATGCCTGCAACACTAGATCTAATATATATTCTGATACCTAACCGAACTTCACTTCTTGCTATACGTTTTACAGAAATTAAACCACAGGAGGAGCAAAAAGACTTTGAACAAATGCATAAATGACTAGTACAACAAACTGCAGATGAGCACTATACAGAATGTCTCTCTCCCTCCAAAAAAGTATTTCAAAGAATTCTTATTTTGAAAACACATTTTTCTGCATGAGCAAATTCTAGTAAATAGGTAACCTCTCTCTAATGAAGTAATATTAATTTATGGAAAACATACATACAATATCAAAAAACTGTACAATCCCTTGTACATAGCTACTGGTATATTATTATTGAATAGAATCTTTCTGTCTCTTACAAAATGAGGGCACTACCAAGAACTAGAGGACAAGCTGAGTAACACGGTAAGTGATAAATACCTGTATCTTTAAAATGATCTCTGACAAATTTTCAGCAGAATTACACGTATTTCCTTATTTTTTTAAAAAAAAGTTGCCCTCAGAGAGCAGCACAAGGCCATTAATATTTCAGTGCAGGCTGTTGGAGACAAGTTGTGACAGCAAAGAGAAACAGCTAGTAAGTATACAAAGTTGGAACTCTACAGTGTTTTGAAAGCAAAGAAAATAAGCTTTTTTTTATTAAAAAAAAAAAAAAAGTCTGATGCGTTAGAAGAGGCAAGGAAGCTAGGATCTAAAAAGATCAAGAATAACTTGAGATAACCCCTTGATAGTAAATTTTCATATGAACCAGAGGCTGACACTTTTTCTGCTGAATTAATGATCTGTAGATTCAAACTCCTACCATATGAACGTGATGATCTGCTACGACTTTGAGGAAGTGCTGCTGGTAACTGCCATGCTGATGTCAGGACATGGCTCCCTAGCAGCCATCTTCCCATCCACCTGTCTTCCTCTCTGTAACACCACTGACTTTTGCTCAAGTGGATGATGTGCAGAGGATGAGCACCAGGCCACACTGCGCCCAGCCTCTCTGCACGCAGCTGAGTTTGCTTCTTTTAAATTTTATGCATCCTATGCAAAAGGGGGAACTGCTGCCCTGCCAATGCTTTAGTATTCACTAATGAGAGAAAAGACCATGTTGCTGTGGAAAGCACAATTCCATTTAAAATGCACTTCTGGCTGAAGGTTTGGCTGAACATGTCATATGTAATAACAAACACTATTATTACAGGCTTGCTGAAGTATCATGAGCTGAAAGCTCTAAAGAGTTGAAATGCGAATCTATCGCATTAACACCCTATGTATTCCTCCCATGCAGCAAATTAATACAATGAAGACAGAATCTGTGCACAGCTCACCGAGGGCATGAAATAGGCACGGAGAGGGGCCCAAACAAGGCCTACACCTCACAAACATGCAGCAGTTTTTTGATTAATTACCATCAAGACAGCCACAGCGGGACCAAAAGCAATGCTGCTGGTGACTGCCATTCCTACGTCCTAATAATCCTGTCAAATTTAACACCATCCCCATAAAACTCGAACCTTCCAGCTCACAGAAATGCTGCTTGCACACCTTGTGAACAGCAGAGCTGCCTCCAGCAGGGGCTCAGGCAGCATCCTCCCACGGGAGCCCCCTGCATGCCACTGCACAGCCATGCCTTCAGGTTTCCATCAGTAAGGAAAGTGAAATCACTGGTTCTGCTACCCAAAGGGGAATTCTGCCAAACAGGAGAGGCTGCAGGCTGATAACCCTGAGGTCCAGCATATGGATAGGTACGGTGCCAGGCTGACACAACCATACCAAGCTGGTTGTGATGAGCATCAAACCCCTCCTGTAGACCCAGCAGCGCAGCCAGTACTTCAGACAGGATGAATTCAAAGACAAGAACGCCATACTTCTGCAGAGATTAGCTGCCTGCAAATCCGACTTCCACATCTGCAGCATTTGGGCACTGCTGAAAGCACTGTTCATGTATTTCAACATGCATAATTTTTCCCCCTGCAGACATCTAGGAGAAGTTCCGTATTAGGACAAATATTCAAAATACTACACCAAGGTTAGGTCACCACCAGCAACACAAGACACATCAGAGATTGCTATGTACCTGCAATATTGCAAAAGCAGCAGTAAATAGAACCAAACAATGCAGCATGTATTAGGTGGGAAGACTAGTCTAAGGAATTGTCATGGCACAGAATTCTAACTAAATAAAATAAATAAAATTTAAGTCCACTAACAAAACTGCTGCAATGTTTATTCTGATGCTTTATCTGTAATCTTTCCCTATCAACAAAGAAAAAAAAAATAAGCATATCAACAAGCAAAGTGTAATTCAATCCATCTTGCAACCCTGACAATCGAAGAAAGAACTAGTGGGAGGCCCTGTGAGCAAAAAATCAATATTGCAGCTTTGTGCCGTGCAAATGTGAATACTGCCAAATAGCAGTGCTTAGGGTAAAATGAACTGTTTTGCTCCATTTTCTCCTCTCTGAACAAATGATTTTGAAACGACAGCTTTTTTTGGAGCTATAAAATGTCAAGCAATAACTCCCCGTGCTTTAGGCAAGTGATTGGAATAAATACCTCTTGGCAACAGGTGCAATGACTTAGGACTGAAATTCATTTACATTCAGGAGATAATTCCCGATAAACAGATGCACTGCCACAGGATGGAAGCCTGAAAGACCGGCATCTTAACACTGCTGCCCAGTTCTGCACTATTCCAGGTCTTTTCAGACATAAGCATGTAGCTCTGTCAATAATTACTGTTGTCACTAGTAAATTCATATTTCCAGTGCAACTCCTCATGAGTACTTTCAACATCGTATTTTCTAACCAACCTGCATTCAGCCTGCTCAGCTTTGCCTCGCTATACCTTGCAAAAATATATTTTGTTTGGGTGTCCTGTACAGCTGAAATCACCATTCCATCCTTGTGCTAATTGCTTCAAGGCAAACTGAGCAGTGACATCAAAGGAGGAGTGTCCCTGTAAAGAGCTTCCTGATCACCACAAACACTTCTGGGGCCAGGACAGGCACTTTGCATACATCATGAACAGTAACCCACATAAGATCTATTACTTATCTATTACCAAATGCCACATCTGCTACTGCATATGCTGTCTCTGATTCAGCTGTATACATGTATGGGTTTTGCCTTTTTTTTTTTTTTTTTTAATGAAGGAAGAATAATAGCTACTGAAAAAAAGAGCATGGTTTCTGTCATGCTGACTGTTTTGATTATAAGAAAACTTCCTGGCAAACATGTTTCCTGCACATTTTATCTGCTCACAAATCAGTTGAGCTCTTTACTGAAAAAAAGAAAAACCTCTTTTACAAAATCACCATTTTAAGGAAAAAAGGTAGAGGGGATATTCAGTGGTAATAAGCATTCTTTAATGCTTTACTGATCAATACAGAAACACTGAGAAAAAATATCAAAATGAAACATCACAAATAAAAATCTTCCCTCTTGTACTTTAGTCTGTGAATTTAAAGCATACATCTCCTACAAAAGAAATGGATCCCAGAACTGTGTTTCTGAAATATATCAGATTCACATTTGGCTAAAAACGCTTAATATAAATTTGCAATGCCTTATTTACCACTGGTTCCTTACTAAGATATGATTTGACTATAGAAAGATAACCCAAATTTGTCAAAGTCCAAAGGAAAGTTAATAATTCACAGCTTCCTGCCCACTAGCACTCCATCTTTTTGAGCTGTCAATAATAAGAGTGTGTGCTAAGTTTGGTAGATAAAAGCGAAAAGGAGCCACTACATTTGAATGTTCACCCCATACAGAGGAAAAATACTGGAATGTAAACAGGCTAACATCAGTACTTCTCAACATCAGAAGCAAGGAACCTTTGATTAAAACTTAAAGCACTGAGAGAGTAAACATGGAAATATAAAATTATTTCAAAGAATGCGGATACTGGAAGAACTGAGGTTCCAAAATAAATCTTTGCAGAAATACATATAAAATCTCAGTGAGCAAGGAAATACTGCTTCTTGTGTTATTTGGCTCTAACAGAAAGGTCTTCTAAAAAGAGCACATCTTTTGAAACAGAATGTTTACAGTTGTGTCTTTCACAATCTCTTTTATTTTACCAAATCACGAAACATGATGGTTCAAGTTCGACACAAGATGAAGTAATGCATCTTGGGCAGAATTTCAATAATATATGTTGAGCAAACGCAGAGCCCAGTAAAACCTGCACTCAGCATCCTTTCAGTTGCTTGGTGAGGTGCAGACGCGTGCACAGATGTTACACAGGGCAGCCAAACACACTTCACCATCTGAAAATCGTGTAAATTCTGAACATGGGCTCTGCAGAGCATTTATAATTCTTGAAAAAAGCCTCAGCTTCCTGCATTTTCTAAAGAATCCTAGGAACTATGTATGTCAAGGGAGGCTTTTCTCTCTATCTCTCAGCACCGTATACGTTTCATATAGATAAGCGTGTGATTTTGTTAAACAGCTTTTAAATTATGCAATACT